AAAACGACAACGAATTACAGAGAACGTTCCGAGTTGCAACTATTGTGCTGCTACAATAGTTGCTAGGCCGTTGCGAGCAACGGTGAAGGGTGGAAACCAGCCTTCCGTGTTATCGTGAAATCGAACTTAAGGAGCTTGATTCACCGGATTCAAGAATTCGGAAGGGTCTCGGGACGGAAAACTTTTATTGACTCGTGTGAACTTTTAGCATCCTGTCATGTCCTTACTTGAATTTAATTGATATTTGGATTAGTTTTGACAAGGATGAGGTGCTAAGAGTTGGGGGGAAAGGGTTGATCCATCTTCGATGGAGATGATGATTTTTATCTACTGAACAAAAACAATAGTAATATAATAAGTAGTAGCCCTGTTTTTAGGAGTGACCTCGTGGTCTGGGGATACTGAGACCCAGCCATGAGCTCACTATTTGCATGTAATTAAGTTAATTTGAGCGTTCTGGTCGAAGCCGGAGAACAGTAACGTTTTTGTCGACCCGATGTTGGAAAGACCACCGAAAAGTACTGGCTTGGTAGAGACGGTGAAAAGCATGCAAAGCTCTGTTTAGACGCTAGCCAGTCGTCTTAAGACTTAGTTTTGTTATCCGTCGATATGTATCTTCCGGGCGAATGTTACATGTATGTTTTTATGGCGCTCCTGGGTGTTATTCTTTTTAACATCATGACCGACAGAACCGTTAACGAGCACTCCGCGCCGAGCGGATGCTCACAATAACGCCCTTAATAGGCCTAAACCGCCGGGGCGGAAGGGTAGTTCGGAACGCGGAGGCCTTCCGGATTGCCGTGAATAGTTTTTTAACCTAGTTAAGACCGAAAATTCACGAACCAGGAAGGGTGGGGGGATTGGCCGTCCCCTCGTCCCCCGAGTGGTTGGTGACCAAAAACACTTAAAGATATAAGTAAAACCAAACAAAAAGTAGTATAGTACCTAAGAAAAACAAAAAACATAAAAAATAACCGAAAAAAACCAAAAACAGTAAAAAAAGTAAAAAATCAGTAGAAATCATCCCCCCAGACAAGATGTGATCCAACCCCCCCGTTTGTTGTTGATAGATATATTGTTGTTACAAGCATTTATATCAGTCAGGATCGTTACGATCAGTTTTGTAGCCCGTTTGTGAGGCTTGTACTGTAGGGTTATTTGAGCATTTAAGCACGTTAATGATAAATTGCGCTCAATCCGGAAGGGTCAGCTGATTTGCGCTCAATTCGGAAGGGTCTTGGGTGAAGACCGATCCGGCAAGCAGTACAAGGAGCAACAAGAAGGGGCTCAACGACAACAACAATCGACTGTTGGGTATCGTTAACAAGTTTTGTGATTTTCAAAAAACGCCAAAATTGTCCAGAGGATATACCAAAAACCGCCAAAATCGTCCAGTCAATAGATCAGAATCGAGAGATTTCAGGATTAACTAATATAACGATATTGAGAAGCTATTAACCCACAATTATAGAAGAAAACGAACTACAGATACTCAAAAAGTCAACCCATACTCAGCGTGGAGGCAGAACCAACGCGATAATAATTCATCAAGGAAAAGTAGATGTGTTAACTAAAATCTACTGATTTTCAAAAGGCAATCAGAAGGTCAAAAGTATCATAGTAACCGAGGTTACAGTCATGAGTCCCTTTATCATGTATTCCAGTCAAAATCCTTGGAATTTTCTAGATATGGAAGTGATAATGATAAAAGAAGATGACAAGTGTTTAAGTCCTTTTCAATTAAAATAAGAACACGCAACTCGACACGAGATAATATAATATACAAGTGTTACAAGTAAAAAATTTCGTCGAAAATTATTTTGTCTTTTATTGTTCCGAGTACGCAAGCGGCGTTCGCTATCTGTATTGCCAGGGAGATTCTCTGTTTTAAAAAGCTGCCTGCTCTGGGTTCCTCAGTGCATATGCTTAGGTTCTTACAAAGCTTGCTCAAAAAAACTTCTGTGCAGGCGCCGGCCGCGCCCTGAATTTCAAAAGCTAGCGGTTGAAAAAGATATCCATCATTTACAAGATCTTTATACTTGTCAATTTTTCGCTGTTCCGCTTCACCGGCAGCCGTACCAGGGTTACAAACAGACCCGGCATTAATCCTACAAGGAGCTAAGGAGTCTACTACCGTTACATCCCACAAGAGCTGCTTACCATCAGCCCATGGAACGAGCGTGAAACCGTCTGGTCGCTTCTGATCGGTCCTGTAGAGGTGTCGTGGTTCTAAAACAGACGGAATGTGAGATGATGATAGACTCTGCTTTATAAGGGCATTCAGGTTTGAATACCTAGAGAATCTCCCTGCACTTTTGAGGCAAGAAAGACTATGCCAACCATCCTCGGTAACGTCTTTTCCGCACACGCATTTATGCCATTCGCATATTTTTGATCCTAATCGAAGTCCTATCGCAATTCTGAGTTGTTGGTTCGACAGTTTTAACCTTAAATTTTTGCACGGGATGACGTTCAACCATTGGGAGCCAAATCTATCTTGGAACGCGTTGAACCTTTTTATGTCCGTTGGTTCGAGTCGCAAAAATCAAGTCTGCAATTTCGCTGTCAAAAATTGGCTCTGTACAATTTTTTTGGATTTCATTTTCCGGAGCCATTTCAATTGTTCCAAGGTCAAACCACCGTTTAAGCGCATCATCTTAGGTTCCATCCACATGCTCCAAACCAAAGATTTCGCTCAAGGCATCTTTCGCTCCTACTGCTGAGGCTAAGAAAGCCGGTAAAGCGAGTAGACGAGCGGACGAAACGCCCAAGCCACCTTTGGCTGCCGGGAGAACAGCTTGTAAAAACTGGTTATCATCCATTTTCACGTAAGTGACCTTGCATAACGAATTTCTTTAATTTATCTTAGCGTTCCAAAAATATTTTGCAAAAAACAAAGGGTCGTACGCAAAAAATATAGGAGTTTTGGCATGCTAAAACAACTTTTCAGGAGGTAAACACCATAATGTTTGTCTAGTTTGTCAATGACATCCGAGATTTTTTCAAGCTCCTCAATTTTTTCGTCGAGCAATTCTTTTCGGCAAAGTTTGCCGATTGGAGATCCTAAAATGAGGAGTTCTTTTTTTGTTTTTATTTTTATTTTGGGGCATATTTTTCGAAATGGTGTCAAAATTGAATTATACTGTGTACTAGTAGTCTGTCCCAAAAAACAACGTTCACACTTCTCAGTGTTTAAGCTCAGGCCGTAAATTTGTTCTCATTTCAGAATGTTTTTAAGGTCCCGGAGTACTACCTTATAGTCGTCAGCTAAATTCCCATCATCTAAATACCAGATGTTAATTTTCGACTCCAACTGTTTGACTAGTATATGAATTGTTTCCGCAAAAGGGTTGGGGCTTCAGGATCAACTTGCTGAATTCCGTCTTCTGACATTATGACAGAGCTTCCGTAAAAAGGGTAACTAGGTTTACCATACGCCCAATGGTTGTAATTATACAATTGGGGGCGATTTGAATAAACATGATTCAGCATTGTTTCTCTGTTTAAAGAGTTACAGGCATTCTTAAAATCTACTTTTAAAAGAACAGTGCATTTTGAATTGTCGTCGCGTTCAATTAGGTTTCGAAACGAGTGCGCAGCTATTTCTGCTCCTCGTTTGGTACCGCATCCTACCTGTACGTTTCCGAAAAAATTTTGTCGCTTGGAGAGGGCCTTGCTTCCAGCGCATGTAGACGCGATACGTCTCAGCGTGTTGCCTATGGCAATCGGTCTCAACCCTCCGTCTATCTTTATGAGGGCGATAAGCTTTGCGCCAAAAACGAAAGGTCTTGGTGGTTTGGGTATTTTGCCATCTCCAATGAGGTTTATCAGCTTAGTAAGCAATTTCAGAAAATTAAGTCCTGCACTGCCATTCGACTAACTAACAAGATCTTTAAAAATTTGAGGAACTATTTTATCAGGACCTGCTGCTGATCCGTTTGGAAAGGACTTTATCGCTTTGTATAGGTCAAAATTGGTTACGAAAAAACTATCCAACTTTTCTGGATTTGGAGCTGCAAATTTGGCTCGCTGCGGGTGCTTAGACAACAATTTTGGATAGTTATCAGTTGAAAAAGGAGCTATTTTGTCATCCGAAGCAGCAAGCCTTATTCCTCCCTTTACATTTCCTTCATCGAGCTTACTACTTATTAACTTTATTCTCTGCTCGAGGTCACTCAGAGGCGGGCTTGAAACTTGGGGATGGGGTTTTGGAAGTGATACGTCATTTGCTCGAATTTTTTTATTTATCAAAGAGCTCATGCTTGTGGTCTGTTTGCGTCCACTTCTTTTCGGTTGCTCCAAAAAAACAAGAACGACGTTAAAAAAATTAGCCATTTTGTAACATCTTCTACAGTGTAGACGATGTCACTTAATTTGTCCGACAGACTTTCCGCCAAGGGAACACGCGAGTTTTTTGGTACTCTCTTGAGTACTCGGACATTTGAGATGGCTGTAATAACATAATTGTCTAGCACTAAATCATTACCTATTGTTGCTATATTAACAGATTTTACATCAACGCATAAAGAACACATTGGGTTTTCTTAGAGTCGCTAAGAGAAATATTTACACAACTGATATGATACCAACTAGAACAACAATCACATCTAATCCAATTTATCAGTCCTCAAGGTTTTAAGCAATCTTTGCTTGTACACTCTTTGTTGTTTTTCCTGATCTTGACGCAGCATAAAGGTAAAAAAAAAGGATTTTGACTGGACTTTAGGGAACTGAACTAACCCATGATAAGCGGTTAGTGGGAATTTTACAAATCAGCAAATAAAAAAAGACAACTAAATTAATTTAAATTTTAAAATCGAATTATAAAAATCAAAAACAAGGAACAATCTCACCCGAGCTCAGTTGGTCCAGCGCCGCACCACCAGACTCCTCAAGCCGGTTCCAGTTCCCCACCTCCCCACAGAAAGCCACTTGACAGACCTGTCTCTAAAATCCCTCAGAGGGCGCTCCACATACAGGCACAAACATCAAACATCACAAATCTATTTAATAAGTTTATCAGAACAATTAGGCTAAATTTATCACAACAATTAGGCTAAATTTATCACAACAAATTTATCACAACAATTTATCACAACAAGTTTATCACAACAATTAGGCTACTGATTGGTTGTTATAATCAAATTAAATAGATATGTATGTTTGACGTATGTGACAGCTTGTGGAGCGCCCTTTGAAAATTTTCAGAGACAGGAGTGACAATTGGCTTTCTGGTAGGAAAGAAAAAACTCGAACTGGCTTGTAGAGTCTTGCAGTGTACCGCTGGACCTACTGAGCTCGGGTGGTATCGTTCCTTATTTTTAATTTCTTTAGTCCATGAGCTCACTATTCTTGTATGTAACTTGGATAATTTAAGCGGTTGGCCGATAGCCTTTCAGTTGTAACGACTTCGTCAACCCGATGTTACGAGGACCACACATTGAACTGCCTGGCTTCGGTAAAGAAGATTAAAAGCATGTGAAGTGGTGTTTAGCCACTAGTCAGTCGTTTCATAACCTAGCTTTATTTTCCGTCTGTATGTACTTCCGAACGAACGTTACGTATATATTCTTATGGCGCTCCTGAGTGTTATCCTTTAGCATCATGATCGTCTGACCCGTTAACGAAAACACTCCGTGCCGAGCGGATGCTCTAAATAAGGCCTTTAACCAAGAGCCGGAAGGAGTACATCTAGCTGGAAGCAATTTGATAAGGCTATGGAAACAAATAGGGCGCAACTGAGGACATCGATCTTGAGCTGAACGTTCAATCTTGATTTTGGGGAGGAAAATTTTTTTTCAAAATATCGAGTTGAGCCTATCATGCTCAAGTTTTTTGCGACAACTGAAAATACGAAAACAAGCATTCAGAAGACTCGAGTGACAACCGCGGGAAAATTGCTAGTAAAACGAAAGTGAAATTGCTATTCGCAATTTTACCATAATTATCCAGCACGAGTTGACTTAAGCGAAGGGTCCCACACTTTAGCGAAGAGTCCCAACACTCTAGCGAACGGTCCCACACTTTAGCGAAGAGTCCCAACACTTTAGCGAAGGGTCCCAACGCTTTAGCGAGGGGTCCCAACACTCTAGCGAAGGGTCCAAAATTTTAGCGAAGGGTCCCAACACTTGAGCCCTGGGATAGCAATTTAAGAGTCCCAACACTTGAGCCCTGGGATAGCAATTTAAGGGTCCCAACACTTTCTCGAAGGGTCCCAACACTTTCTCGAAGGGTCCTAACACCTTGTCGAAGGGTCCCAACACTTTGTCGAAGGGTACCAAGACTTTAGCGAAGGGTCCCAACACTCAAGCGAAGGTCCCAACACTTTAGCGAAGTTTCCCAAGACTTTGGCAAAGAGTCCCAACACTTCAGTCCTGGGATAGCATTTTAAGGGTCCCAACACTTTTTCGAAGGGTCCCAACACTTAAGCGAAGGGTCCCACACTTTAGCGAAGAGCCCCAACACTCTAGCGAAGGTACCCAACACCTTATTGAAGGATCCCAATACTTTGGCGAAGGGTCCCAACAATTTAGCGAAGGATCCCAACACTTTCGCGAAGGGTCCCAACATTTTAGCGAAGTTTCCCAAGACTTAGGCGAAGGGTCTCAACACTTTGGCGAAGGGTCCCAACACTTTGGCGAAGGGTCCCAACACTTTAGAGAAGGGTTCCAAGACTTTGGCGAAGTGTGCCAATGCTTTAGCGAAGGGTCCCAATATTCCCTCTAGGGTCCCAACAATTTAGCGAAGGATCCCAACACTTTCGCGAAGGGTCCCAACATTTTAGCGAAGTTTCCCAAGACATTGGTGAAGTGTCCTAACACTTAAGTCCAGGGATAGCATTTTAAGGGTCCCAACACTTGAGTCCTGGGATAGCGTATCAAGGGTCCCAAGATTTTAGCGAAGTTCCCAACACTTAAGCGAAGGATCCCACACTTTGGCGAAGGGTCCCAACACTTTGGCGAAGGGTCCCAACACTTTAGAAAAGGGTCCCAAGACTTTGGCGAAGTGTGCCAATGCTTTAGCGAAGGGTCCCAATATTCTAGCGAAGTTTCTCAATACTTTAGCGAAGGGTCCCAACACTTTAGCGAAGGATCCATCACTTTGGCGAAGGGTCCCAAAGCGTTGGCGAAGTGCCCAATGCTTCGGCGAAGGTTCCCAACACTTTAGCGATAGATCTCAACACTTTAGCGAAGGATCCCAACCCTTTAGCGAAATTTCTCAAGACTTTGGCGAAGGGCCCAAGACTTCGGCGAAGGTTCCCAACACTCTAGCGAAGGAACCCAACACTTTAGCGAAGGTCCCAACACCTTATCGAAAGATCCCAATACTTTGGCGAAGGGTCCCAACAATTTAGCGAAGGATCCCAACACTTTCGCGAAGGGTCCCAACATTTTAGCGAAGTTTCCCAAGACTTAGGCGAAGGGTCTCAACACTTTGGCGAAGGGTCCCAACACTTTGGCGAAGGGTCCCAACACTTTAGAGAAGGGTTCCAAGACTTTGGCGAAGTGTGCCAATGCTTTAGCGAAGGGTCCCAATATTCCCTCTAGGGTCCCAACAATTTAGCGAAGGATCCCAACACTTTCGCGAAGGGTCCCAACATTTTAGCGAAGTTTCCCAAGACATTGGTGAAGTGTCCTAACACTTAAGTCCAGGGATAGCATTTTAAGGGTCCCAACACTTGAGTCCTGGGATAGCGTATCAAGGGTCCCAAGATTTTAGCGAAGTTCCCAACACTTAAGCGAAGGATCCCACACTTTGGCGAAGGGTCCCAACACTTTGGCGAAGGGTCCCAACACTTTAGAAAAGGGTCCCAAGACTTTGGCGAAGTGTGCCAATGCTTTAGCGAAGGGTCCCAATATTCTAGCGAAGTTTCTCAATACTTTAGCGAAGGGTCCCAACACTTTAGCGAAGGATCCATCACTTTGGCGAAGGGTCCCAAAGCGTTGGCGAAGTGCCCAATGCTTCGGCGAAGGTTCCCAACACTTTAGCGATAGATCTCAACACTTTAGCGAAGGATCCCAACCCTTTAGCGAAATTTCTCAAGACTTTGGCGAAGGGCCCAAGACTTCGGCGAAGGTTCCCAACACTCTAGCGAAGGAACCCAACACTTTAGCGAAGGTCCCAACACCTTATCGAAAGATCCCAATACTTTGGCGAAGGGTCCCAACAATTTAGCGAAGGATCCCAACACTTTCGCGAAGGGTCCCAACATTTTAGCGAAGTTTCCCAAGACATTGGTGAAGTGTCCCCACACTTAAGTCCAGGGATAGCATTTTAAGGGTCCCAACACTTGAGTCCTGGGATAGCGTATCAAGGGTCCCAACACTTTCGCGAAGGGTCCCAACACTTAAGCGAAGGATCCCACACTTTAGCGAAGAGTCCCAACACTCTAGCGAACCGTCCCACACTTTAGCGAAGTTTCCCAACACTCTAGCGAAGGGTCCAAAATTTTAGCGAAGGCCCCAACACTTGAGCCCTGGGATAGCAATTTAAGAGTCCCAACACTTGAGCCCCGGGATAGCAATTTAAGGGTCCTAACACTTTCTCGAAGGGTCCCAACAATTTCTCGAAGGGTCCCAACACTTTCTCGAAGGGTCATAACACTTTGTCGAAGGGTCCCAACACTCAAGCGAAGGTCCCAACACTTTAGCGAAGTTTCCCAAGACTTTGGCAAAGGGTCCCAACACTTCAGTCCTGAGATAGCACTTTAAGGGTCCCAACACTTTTTCGAAGGGTCCCAACACTTAAGCGAAGGGTACCAACACTTTAGCGAAGAATCCCAACACTTTTGCGAAGGACCCAACACTTTAGCGAAGTGTTCCAAGACTATGGTGAAGGGTCCCAACACTTTAGCGAGGGGTCCCAACACTCCAGCGAAAGGTCCCAACAATTTAGCGAAGGGTCCCACACTTTAGCGAAGGGTCCCAAGGCATTTAGCGAAGAGTCCCAACACTTTAGCGAAGGGTCCCAAGGCATTTAGCGAAGAGTCCCAACACTCTAGCAAAGGTTCCCAACACTTTAGCAAAGGGTCCCAACGCTTTAGCGAGGGGTCCCAACACTTTAGCGAAGGGTCCCAACACTTTAGCGAAGGTTCCAACACTTTAGCGAAGGGTCCTACACTTTAGCGAGGGTCCCAACACTCTAGCGAAGGGTCCCAACACTTTAGCGAAGGGTCTCAACACTTTAGCGAAGGTTCCCAACACTTTAGCGAAGGGTACCGACACTTTAGCGAAGTGTTCCAAGACTATGGTGAAGGGTCCCAACACTCCAGCGAAGGGTCCGAACACCTGAACTAAGGGTTCCAATACTTTGACGAAGGGTCCCAACACTGTAGCTAAGGGTCACAACACTTCGGCGAAGGGTCCCAACCCTTTGGCGAAGGTTCCCAAGACTTTGGCGAAGGGTCCCAACACCCTAGCTAAGGAACCCAACAAATTAGCGAAGGGTCCCAAGACTTTAGCGAAAGGTACCAAGACTTTGGCGAAGGGTCCCAACGTTTTAGCGAAGGGTCGTAACACTTCAGCGAAAGATACCAAGACTTTGGCGAAGGGTCCAGCACTTTAGCGAAGGGTCCCACACTTTAGCGAAGAGTCTCAACACTCTAGCGAAGGGTCCCAACACTCCAGCGAAAGGTCCCAACAATTTAGCGAAGGGTCCCACACTTTAGCGAAGAGTCCGAAACTTTAGCGAAGAGTCTCAACGCTCTTGCGAAGGGTCCCAACACTTTCTTTAGCGAAGGGTCCCAACGCTTTAGCGAGGGGTCCCAACACTCCAGCGAAAGGTCCCAACAATTTAGCGAAGGGTCCCACACTTTAGCGAAGAGTCCCAACACTCTAGCGAGGGGTCCCAACACTCTAGCGAAAGGTCCCAACGCTTTAGCGAAGAGTCCCAACGCTTTAGCGAAGAGTCCCACACTCTAGCAAAGGTTCCCAACACTTTAGCGAAGGTTCCAACACTTTAGCGAAGGGTCCCACACTTTAGCGAAGAGTCTCAACACTCTAGCGAAGGGTCCCAACACTCCA